CTTAACCCTGTTTGCCTCAGTTTCCTCATCTGTAAAGTAAACTAAAAAAGGAAATGGCAAATCACTCCAATATCTTTGCCAAGTAAACCCCAAATGGGATCTCTAAGAGTCAGACACGACTGAAACAACTGAACACAATATAGTGAGGGAGAAAAAGACTCACAGGGCATATTTTTTAGATTCTTTCTTCACAATGCCAAACATCTGGATGCTTAAACATAACTTGACATTTGGCATTTATACGTTATATATAATATATGCAGAGATGTTTCTGTAATATTTTCCTAAATATTTCCTAGGATTTAGTTCTTGAAGACATGACCTCATTTGGCTCTATAGCCCCTAGGATGAGAGAATCTGATTTATGCAGTATCAAAGGGCTAGAATATTCTAATCAAGATGAATGCTATAAAGGTGTTCAAAGTTTCCTGGCCCCTATGGAAAGATTTTTGAGTTGAATACACTTCATTTTTCTTTTTTGATCCAGATCTAAGATTTTGTCTTTGAAGGGAATTCTCAGTGAAGAAAACCCCTTTACCAGTTCAGATCTGTAACTGCTATACAGTCTATAGACTTCAGAGAGTTGCTTGCAATACTAAGAGATTAAATCATTTGCCCACCATCACCTAGACAGTACGCACCAGAGGACAAACTTCAATTCAATTCAACTCAATTAAAAAACACATTTATTAAGTGCCTGCTATGTACCAGGCACTGTGCTAAGTGATGGGGATACAGAAAGAGGCAAAAGGCAGTCCCCGTCCTGAGGACGGCTCACCTTCCCCTCCGCTTCTTCCCCAATAAGGCTTTAAACCCATCTATTTTTCTTCATTTATAGGAGTACATTTTTCAGGTTGCAAACTTTCCTTTACCCTCATAGCATAGAAAATATTAAGCAGTTACAGATACCTATAAAGGGATAAATGCAATAACACATTTTTATTGACAACCAGTTTATACTTCTGGTTTCATTCCAGGATCTAAAGGGCAAACTAAAGAATTAAATGTCCACCAGAAACTTACAGTTTAGTTGGTGCAACAACTTTTTTTTTTCATTATAAGCGTTAGTAAGAGTAAACCCCTTGCATTTGTACAGCCTGGTGTGCAAAGAATTTTGGCATACATTATCTCTCATTTGAGCCTTATACAAACCCCACAAGATAGATGCTACAAGTGTTATTTTCTGAATTTTACACCTGAGGAAACTGAGGTAAACTAGCATCAAATAACATCCTCTCAGTCAAACAGCTAGTAAGTTACAGAGTTAGGATTTGATCCTAGATCTTCCAACTCCAAGTGCCTCGCTCTTTCCATTAGGAAAGGGTTTGTGAAAAAGACCTAAACTGGTCATTACAGAGAACACATCTAAGGTGCTATCTAAGAGTGATATCATCTCCATTTGGTCACATTATCAGTTACTGAAGAAGCTGCTTTAATACCCTCAAAAGAGAGTGCAGTCCTTCATACATCCCATTTATCAGAAGGTAAAGCAATGCTTTTGCTTAATTCACTGCCATTTAGGCATTTTATTTTCTGTAGCTCTCTTTTTCTGAGTTATTATCACATCAATTTTATAATATCTTTGGACCCCACAAGCCTACATCCCTAAATTTCCAAACTGTCCAAAATAAGGGAGAGTCGAACTTGCTTATATAATAATATTTTTATTTAAATAGTACTCTGTGGTTTTTTATTACTTTCAAAATCCATTATCTCATTGGATCATCATACTACCCTTGGAAAACAGGAAGGTCAGGTACTATAATCTCCATTTTACTGACAAGGAAATTAAGTTTCTGGGAAGTTAAATGGCCTACTCAAAGAAAAGGTCACATAGTTAGTAAGTGGTATCAGGACATAAACCTAGGTCTTTCGACTTTTGCTATTCACACTACCCCAAACCACAGCACCTCTGTGCTTGGAGGTTAATGTGCCTTTGGAAATTTTGGGGACATGTGCGAATCACTTGCGTTTTTCCAACTTCATCACTTCGTGAAATTTCACAGTCTATCCTGTGCTCATGGCAAAAATCAAGGAGAATGAATCAGTCCAGGGATAGTCCTTGTCATATTAGGCAAGCAGAGAAGAAGCAACATTGCTGATGAGGAGGAGGCAAACAGGGTTAAGTAACTTGCCCAGGGTCACACAGCTAGTATTTATTTGATTTGCCTTCTGACTGTTAAAGATTGTGAGCCTCTCACAATAATTGTGATTGGACTTAGGATACGTTCATATGTTTCCTTTATCCATCCCTGCATAGTACTTTATGCACCCTGACTTGCATTTCATTCTGCACTATAAGACACAATATTGTATTGTATATTTGTATATCCCCCTTGCTAGATTTTTTCCATGAGGGGTTAAACCATATTTTAGTTCATTGCTTCATCTCTCCAATGCTGAGTTTTGTATTTAGTTGGCATATAAACACCAAAGGAGGGATGAATGGATGGATGACTGAATGAATAAGTGAAAGTTCCCAGAATCACAAGATCATGTATTTAGCCAGTCAGTCAATAAATACTTATTAAGCATCTACCATATGTCAGACACTGTGCTAAGTACTAAGGATAAAAAGAAAGGGAAAAAGTACTGTCCCTGCTGTCAAGAAACTCACAATCTAATGGGAGAGACAATATGCAACAATTATGTACAAATAAGATATATACTGGACAAGTTGGAGGCAATCTTAGAGGGACGGCACTAGAATAATGCAGGATCAAGAAAGGCTTCTTCAAAAAGAAGGGATTTTAGCTAGGACTTGCAGAAAGCCATGGAAGCCAGGAGGAAGAAATGGGGAGGGAGAGGATTCCAGGCAAGGGAGAGGCTCAGGAAAAATGCTCAGAATTACAGATGAAATGGATCTTTAAGATCATCTAGTCCAACTCCCTTCAACTACAGCTGCAGAAACTAAAGCCCAAAGAGATGGAGTAACTTGCCTGTGGTCACATAGATAAATGGTAGACCTGGATTTTGAGCCCAGGTGATAGTGGATCATAGCTCTGGAGCTGGAAGGAAGCTGGGAAGCCATCTTGTCCAACCTTTTCATTTTACAGATCAGAAAATTAAGATTAGTTATTATTACAAAAAAGGATTCCATATAACAAAGTGGTTTCCATGTGTTGGCTTCAGCACTAAATAATGGCCTTGACCATGAAGATTGGATTACAGTGAATCTCCACAATGAAGCACCTAATACAATAAATATCTCTTTCTGTTGTAACTAATAAGCAGATCTGGGATTCAGATCTGGGGGGAGGTGGGAAATGGAGACTTACAATGTGTGTCTCATTTCCCACCTCCATCACTTGCTTTGATTAGCTCACTAACGAAGGGGAGCAATTACTAAACTATCTAAAAGAGTAGATAACCAGAAACAAATTTTAAAACCAAACGTTTGCTATTTCAGTTTGATTTTAAAATACTTGAGTGGATTTCTAAATTTTCTCTGAATAACCCAGATAGTATATGCTTGAAAGTTGACTCTAGCATGCATTTTTTTTCATGTCACCATTGGAGGTTGGTGTTGAAAATCAGATATTATTTACTTTAATACCATTTTCTTTCCTAACTAGAGACCTTATAGAAGAAAAGTTATTTGCATTATTTTGTTTTGTTTCTTATATTACATTCTGCTTCATTGAGTTATTTTGTACTGAATCCAATAATAAGGTCATCCTTTACAATGTGATATAGCAGAAAGGGGAAACTAGGTGGCACAGCAAATAGAGTATTGGGCCTGGAGTCAAGAAGACCTATCTCTCTGAGTTCAAATCTGACCTCAAACACTTACTATTTGTGTGACCCGGGGTGAGTCACTTAACCTTGTTTGCCTCAGTTTCTTCATCTGTAAAATGAGCTGGAGGAGGAAATGGCAAACTACTCCAGTACCTTAGCCAGGGAGACCCCAAATAGGGTCACAAAGAGTCGAACATAATTGGGGTGGAGAGAGGGGAGAAACAGCAGAAAAAAGATTAGACTTGGATTTAGGGAACAAGTATAAATCCTGGACCTGCCCATTACTGTCTATGTCACTTTGTTTAAGTCCTTTAGCTTCTTAGAGCTTAGTTTCATTCCTTAGAAATGGAAAAGATTAGATTAAGTGACTTCTCTAAGTTCACTTATCACTCTAAATCTATGATCCAGCATGAGTGCATAAATCATTTATTACCATTTAATATTCCTTGTTTTCCTGAATTTATTTTCCTTTTTCATAATTTTGATTCAGCAACAGTAGTTTTTGTTTATATTTTATATACTGGTACCTCCTGAACATTCAGTTTCCAAGCCATCATAGATAATATTTGCTGAACACTCAGCAACTGTACAGCCAGGTAGATTAAAATCATTGCATAAATGAATTATATGAACATTAGATTTATTTGCTATGAAATATTGCCCTTTCTTACCTTTAGAAAAGAGTTAAAGTATGCTAATGTTTCATTCAAGTTAAAAGCTGCCTTGTAAGGCAATCAGTTCTCCATTCATTCATTCATTCATTTAATAAATGTTTATTAAGTATCTACTATAGACAAGGCATTGTGCTAAACTCTGGAGGTACAAAGACAGTATCCAAAACAGATCCCATCTCCAAGGCGTTCACATTCAATTGGAAAGATGCTCCATAGACTCATATAAGTTCAAGGTCCAAGCTATAGTTAAAGATTTAGATCCAATATCATTAAGTAATAAAGATACCATCAAATATTTATCACATATGAATGACACATCTCAAGACTTCACTAAACCTAAGGAAAATAGTGTACCGTTTTGTACATTATTTTTGTACATCCACTCCCAAGTTAAGTCCTCTTGCAGATGTCTCCATGAGAGGAAAAAAACCAAAACTGTAGCATAAGCATCTAACTCTCATCTGCTATGGGTTCTGAAGATGGCAAAGTTGATTGGGACTTACATAGCATTAATACTGTCTTACTTATGATGTTCGATAATATGGTAGCAAGACGGACAGTAAATATGTTTATTTCTCTATGTTGCAGATCATGAAAACCCAGCTCCTTCTAAACCTCAAGGTAAGGCATATTTTTCATGAGTTTTTGCTCTTTTACAATCAGAGTATACCCCTTCATAAAGAAAAAGGAGCGATGTCTGAAGAGTTAAAATTCCAACAATGATATCTGTGTCTATTTCAAAGAAAAATCAAGTGTGAATGGTAGAGAGATATTCTGTTGTATGCCTCACCTTTACATAACCCATTTTTCTTGCAATATTCTTTATAGACAATATTTCACTTATTATTCATAGCAGCACAGTTAGATCATGCAAGATTGCTATCTTCTGTACTTTACAGATGAGGAAACTGGGATTCAGGGAGGTTAAGTGACCTGCCCATGGTCACTTACAGCTAATAATTGGTGAAACCAGATCTCCAAGTAAGGTTTTCTAACTGAAAGTTCTATACTTCCAAACATACACACACACACACACACACAGTATTATCAGATATAACTTGCAATCCAGGCACCTGTGGCAAACATTCCCAATAAAGTGTCTTCCTAGATAAGCAATAAGATAAATTCATTTAAAGATATCAGAGGAAAGAAAGAGACCTCTAAACACAAGACCCTAGTCGGGCCTTGGCAATAGCCCCCAGAACACCATTCCCTAGTGGTAAAGTTAGAGAGACCCATGGGACACCATGAGGCTGCTTAATGGAAAAGCTTCTATACACAATCAGACCATTGAGGTAAGATCAGAATTGGAAAAGAAAAATAATAGAAAACTATATAGTGCACAATTGAAACAACTGAACCCTGAACTAGTTAAACAAGTAACTAAAAATTAAAAATGAGACACAGACAACAAAAATGACACCAACCCAGTTGCAAGCATTTATTAAGTACTTCCTAAGTAGTAGGTATAAGAATTTATCTGAGGGGCAGCTAGCTGGAGTAGTGGATAGAGCACTGGCCCTGGAGCCAGGAGGACCTGAGTTCAAATCCAATCTCAGACACTTAATACTTACTAGCTGCATGACCCTGTGCAAGTCACTTAACCCCAATTGCTTTGCCAAACAGTAACAACAGAAATAATAATAAAGAATTTACCAGAAGTTTAACTAATGTAAATTGCCACAACAAACAGACCAAAGGAGCACAGAAAGTGCTCTAACTGGCAAACATCTGACATTTACCAAATGGTAAGAGATGGCGCCAAAAGAAATATCAGCTCATAATATAAAATCATTTGTAAAATATTACAGAGGTTCATGATTATATGACCTATTGTATTATAAAGCAGACAGAAGTGGTGGAGGGTAAAACCAGTTTAAAGAAAGGTTGGCAAGATATCCAATTAAGTAAAATCACTATAAATGCATTGAATGATGAAAATGGAAAGACAACTAAAAAAGAAAAAGGGAAAAGATTTGCAAAATCATCATAATAAACTATTTCTCCATCAAGGACAGTAGTACCACCAAACTTGGATCTTGAAAAGGCAGTTTTATAAGAAAAGGAAAAAAATGGCACAGGGAACAAAGACATGAAAAAAGCCTTATTAGACCATGTGTTTATAAAGGATATTTGTGCAAAAAAGATACACAATTGTGAGAGTGTTGAGAGACCAATATATAAGGTATCTGAAAGAAAGGCATGATACCAAAGGCATGGAAAAAAATTGGAATTTATTAAAATCAAAAAAGATAACCAATAATCATCAATAACTACTAACCTATATGCCTCCTCACATCAGTACAAAGTCTTTATGAGTCATCTATTCGTGAATCAAGGCTATTAGACTTTCACACATGAGATCAACTAAGGACCAATCTAAAAAGAGAGACAGAGAGAGAGAGAGAGAGAGAGAGAGAGAGAGAGAGAGAGAGAGAGAGAGAGAGAGAGAGAGAACATATAGAGGGTTTATTCAACATATTTATAATATATCATACACTGTGCTAAGTGCTGAGGATACAAACCAAACAAGTAAGATGGACTCCACCCTTTAGAAGCTTACATTCTAATGGGTGAAGACAACAAATAAAATAATAGGAACAAGAAAGGAGAAAGGGGTGGGTCTCTGGCAGTTTGGTTTACAGATAATCAGGAAATGGCCTAGAAGCCCACCTCCAGTCAAAATAAATTGAAATCAGAGTCCAGTATCCCAGGGGCAGAATCTAAGATTCTGGGATGGGGGAAGAAAGATAAGGATAATGCCTGCAGAAGGCAAGCATAGTGTACAGTGTCAGAAAGTGGTGCAGAAATCTGGTTCCAGGCAAGATAAGCCAACAGCTCACTTATAAGAAACCAGGGTCCCAATAGCAGAGTTCAAGGTCCAGGGATCAGGAAGGAGGGAAGAGGAATGGGAGATGAGGATGATGACCAGATATCAGTTGGCATAATGTGGAGATGACCAGAAAGTGAAACCTTAACAGTTCACAATTAACTAAAAGATGCAGAGGACATAAGATCCAATCATACTTACCAAATGATAAGAAAAGAACTGGCAAAACACACATTATGGAAATGTAAATTTGTGCCATTTTTATGGAGGTGATTGAGCAGAGAGTCTAAGTGGTGATGGTGAGGTCTTGCAGATAGTTGAATTTGTGCATGATATTGTGCTGATTCCATCAAGCCCAGAAAAATTGCAGAGACTCCATAATCACTTAAAGACAGTGGTCTGATCATAGATAAAGAATGTCCATTGCCCAGATTTCAGGTTATGCAAAAAGCACAGAGGTGAGATGCAATGTTGTGATGGCCTGCAGTAGATAGAGCATTATGGTTTCTACGTGTAGTATGTGAGGGATAATAAAGTAAAATCAAGCTGAAAAGATAAGCTAGAACCAGACTGTGAAGGGCTTCCAATGCCAAATGGAGAAGTTTGCATTTTATCCTGTAGCTCTCCCCCAACCCACACTGGACTAATAGTTTAAGGTACCTAGATGTAAATGACTTATTCTCCCCTAACCCAAAGGGGCTAGGACTTCTGGTGCTGTTGGCCACAAATCCCTATATGGCATAACCCCCCCATGTCAGTCAACCAATAGAACTCTATTAGCTTTTATGAAAGGATATTTACTGAGAAAACATAGCAAGAATAGTAGCTATAAAACTGTCTGCCCAGAGGATTCATTCTAACTTTGCATACACACAAGGTCCCTGGCAAGTCAGGGCTCAGATTTAAAGTATAACTGGAATGAAGCACATGTGTAGAGAAAAAGACATACCTCCTGACTTCTGGCCCCGGATGTCATTTTCTCCCTTCACAGAGTCTCCACTGTTTTTTACTGGGTATGACCTTGATGATTGATAAGGTCCTCCCTTGCTCAGCTGAAGTGGCCACTCTCAAGGAATGGCACCACCAGGCAACATCTTCCTGTCACTCTTCATCTATTTATCCATAAAGACTTTTTCTCTCTCTCTCTTTCTCTCTCTCTCTCTCTCTCTCTCTCTCTCTCTCTCTCTCTCTCTCTCTCTCTCTCTCTCTCTCTCTCTCTCCTCCTCCTCCTCCTCCTCCTCCCTCTCTCTTAATGTTTCCAAAGTTGCCACTGCTCTTGTAGATGTTTCATTTATGGTTACTGATTCTAGTAACTGGTGGGCCCTCGGGACTGTTTTGATGAGTCAGTAGGTCTCACTAGTCAACTGACTTTCCCCTTGCAAAATATTTGTCCCCCTCAGATCAGGAAATCAGGAAAAAATAAGGATGAAAGAAATAAAGGCACCATGAGTTCATGAAAAAAATGGAGGCTTGGTTGTAGATAATGAATTCAAGCCCCCTCCACTGACCCAACAGCTCATAGCGGTTCTTGCTTTTCCCCATAAGAGAAAGAAAAGCACAAAGAGTGGCAAAAGAGAGGCATATGATTTTTTAATATTCAAACTTAGTTCTGACTCTGGGTTTCCTTAGTTATCAGGCCTCCTCGATCCCCAGCCAGTCAGAAGACTCCTCATTACCCCACGGCACCAACCTCCCAGTCACTCACGCTTGGAAGAAGGTTCACTAAATTGACGTGTAAAATGGGAACCAAGTAATACTTTGTATTCTCTGGATAGCTCATCAGGATCAGCAAATCTGAGTACATTTCAAGGCCTGGGACATCCTTGGCCAGTCCCTCATTTACAATGCTAAAGGAAATAGGGAACCACTGAGGTTTTTGAGCACTGTGATGACAAGGTCAGATCTATCCTTTGAGAACATCAATTTGGAATCTTGCGGGTGATAGATTATAAGCAGAGAGAGAGAGACTAGATGAAACGAAGTCAATGAGATTATTGCAAAGGTGATAGGCAATAATCATCTGGGATAGGATGGCTGTAATGTGAGTGGTGAAATCTCTCATGCAGATGCAAGAGGAGTTGAGAAGGTGGAATCATTTTCTTAATAATCTCTAATGCTTCTCTTTAGAAGGTACTTCTAGATTGCAACAACATTCTTCAGTTAAACGTTTGTTTACGCTTGTTGACAACCCTATGGAATTTTTGGCAAGATTTGGGTCTTAGGCTGAGGATTTTACTCAGCTACAAAATGAAATATTGCATTCTGCTTTCCCTAAATAACCCAACTTGATTTAATTAGATCCCAGTAATTTGTTATTAAGTACTGCTGTCACTTTTTAATGGGGGGGGGAGAGAGAAGTATTTGTTAAGTGACTATTATGTGCCCAGTATTGTGCTAAGCATTTTATAAATATTATCTCATTTGATCGACAACAATCCTGTGAGTTAAGTGCTACTATTTCTCCCATTTTATAGTTGAAGAAACTGAATGACTGTCCCAGGGTCATATAGCTAGGGACTCGAGGCCCAGCATTCTATCTTCTGCAGCATTTAGATGTCTCTGATGGACCTAACTTCAAAAGCAGGGCTATTTTTCATGAGGACTAGATTAATTATAATACCCTAAGGCTGTTTTCAGATGAACTAGCATTTTGAACTATCCTGATGGTAGAGTCTGATGTCTAGAGGTAAGTTCAGCAGTTAACAAAAAAAAAAATCAGTTGCCAGCATAATTCAGCATTTCTATATGATTTCTCAAGGGAACTCAGTTGTGTTTTATACATATAGTGTGAAGGAGCTCTGTACGTATGTAGATGGGGGGAATGTATGATGTCAGGGGGAGAAAGTAGAGGGATAAGACTGGAGAGATAGGTTATTGAGAAAGATAGGAAGGAACCCCATTAATAGAAGGAAGGATGCATGCTGATGTGCCTGGAAAGTTAAATTAAAAGCTAACATTCTGTGTTCTTTGTATTCAGGAGAATGGGCACCACTGCGGCTAGTAGGAGGTAGTGGAAGATGTTCGGGAAGAGTTGAAGTTTATTACCAAGGAGAATGGGGGACTGTGTGTGATGATCTCTGGGATATGAAACAAGCAAATATTGTGTGCAGGCAACTAGGATGTGGCTGGGCCATTTCAGCCCCAAGCGAGGCCCATTTTGGGCCAGGATCTGGGAAAGTTCTTCTGGACAATGTACACTGTAAGGGAGATGAAAATTATCTCGAGCAGTGTTCCCATATAGGCTGGCTTTCCCACAACTGTGGCCATGAAGAAGATGCCAGTGTCATCTGTTCAGGTAACTTCTAACACTCCTTCTCAACAGTCTATCTTTTTGAATGGACAGTATTCTAATAATTAGTTGGAAACGTAAGAACATTCCTATTCATTGACTAATACCTGGTGTTTTAATTTCTCTCAATATTTCCAGATGCTGAAAATTCATCAGTTGTCCTAGCAGGTAAGGAAAGAAAAAATGCTTAGATGCTTACTCATGTAGTAGAAGAAAGAAGAAGGGAAGGAAAACAGATGAGGAAAAAGAAGCGGGGCAGGGGTAGGGGGAGGAAGGAGAGTCCTGAGATTACATGGTGTTATGGTGAAAGCCAGCCTCAGAATTAGAATAACAGACTCTGGTCCTGCTACTGACGTATCCTGGCTGTGTAACACTTGACAAGTCACTTAAACTCTAGGTCCGGGAAATTCTCTAAGACTAAAGTTGCATAAGAATTGACAATCTACATTGATAAATAGAGTTTCCTCACTGTGGAACTCTGTATGCCATTGAGAGCATGGGTCCAAACTCCCTCTCTCTCTCTCCATCATCCATCCATCCATCTATGTGTCTATCTGTCTTCTATCTCTCTTTCTGTCTCTCTCTGTCTCTCTCCAGCATCCACCCATCTACCTATCTGTCTGTCCTTCTGTCTCTCTATCTACATGCATATGTAGTCAGATATATATTTATATATGCGTGTATATTTAAACATGCATGCACACACATGTATGTATGTATGTATATGTGTGTGTGTGTGTCTATATATACCAAAACCTAGTCTTATTATTGTGGAGTAATGGTGGGCGATGCTGAGTCTTATCTTTATTGAACTTTCCTAGCATCCATGATGCATTACTATTTTCTCAGTTCATGGTCAAAATATTTCAGAGCTAGTCATCTAGTCAAAGTCCCTCATTTTACAAATAAGGACACAGTGGTTTAGAGAAGTGAAATAAGGAAATAATATGAAGAAGCAAAAAAGTTTTCCAGTTTCCCATTATTAATGATTGCATTTTAATAGTGGTATAGTTCTAGAATGTCAGAAAAAATATTCCTGTGGAAATACATCTAAAAGCAAAATACCATTTTGCGGGAGGTATTTGGAGCAATCCTATAGTCAGGGATTCTGAGCTCTGGCTCAGTGGGTTGTGAAATGAGTCCACATGGTATGATAAAAAGAGCCCAGGACTTAAAGTCTAAAATCTTAGGTTTGAGTCCTCACTTATCAAGTACTAATTGTGTGAACTTAAAGAAATCACTTTGACCTCTATGATCTTTATGTGTAACGTGGAGAATATCTAACATACCTTGGTGACCTCATATAACATTTGTGAGGACCAAATGAGAAAGTGTACATGATAGCCATAATGGCTAGCATTTATGTTATACTTCAAGGTTTGTAAAGTGCTTTATAAATATTATCTCATTTTATCCTCACAGCAACTGTGGGAGGCAGGTACTGTCATTATTCCCCTTCTATAGGTGAGAAAACAAAGACAGACAGAAGTTAAATGACTTGCCCAGGATCTTCACTTGCCCAGCTATTTAAGTGTTCGAGGCTGGATTTGAACCCACTTGTTACCAACTTCAAGTCCCAGGCTCTCTCCTTTGTACCACATGCCTACTAAACCTTTGAACCATAAAGCATGATGAAAATGTCAAGTATAACGAGGTGACAATATATTTATTAGTAGTATAGATCAGTGACTATAAGGCCAGCCTTGTGGCCATTTATGAAATAAGCAAAATTTGTCTCTGAGTTATACTATCAGTAGTAAGACCTGGAAGGGGCTCTGGAGATTGTTTAATCCAATCCCCTCATTTTATAGACCAGGCAACTTCAGGCCTAGGGAAAGTAAGTCTTGTGTAAGCTCACATAGTACGTGGTGAAGTCAGGATTAGAATCGGGACTTTAATGGTATCTCCCATCCCTCTTATGTACATCTGTCCAGTGCTTCTTGACTTCCCAACACAACACACTGTGTCACTACACCAAGGTTCACTCCTGCCAGGCAGTCCCCACCCCCCATATCCCATGCTCCAAACTCTTCTTTCATTCTTCCAAGCAAAACTCCTATTTCCCCGCTGCTCTTATCTCAGCTAGGTACCAGCTTGAAAATGATAAATAGATTCACAATAAAATAGTGTAGGGTTTGGTCTAGAGAAATGCTGAGGTCTCTTCCCCCTCTAATATTCTGTGTCAATAGTTTAATATGTCATCAAGATATATATATATATATATATATATATATATATATATATATATATATATATACACACATACACATATATATACATCTATACATACATATGCATGCATGCATATATATACATATAAATATTTACATATTTATACATATACATATATATGTATATGTATATATTTACTTATATATGTATGTGTGTGTGTGTGTGTGTATATGTATATACACACATATATGTGTAAAACCTTTCAGGAATATCTATTTTAAAAAGAAGAAGCCTGGAGGCAGCATTGAGTCAATCCAAAGGAACGTCTCAGATAATTAATTTCAAGTTGTATGGACAGGAGAAGGGCTTTTGAGGAGGAAGACAGGAGTAAAGAAAAGAGACATTTCACACATTTAGATGACCACCTGGTTGGTTGTCGTCCTTTGTTATCAAAGAGGACCAAAGTGACCTCACTTGTTGGGGTCAAGTTACAGTGTTGTCCAGCTGTGGCTGCTCAGATTAACAGGAGTTTGGAAAGTTCTACCACAGGTCAGGCACAAATAGTGCATGTGAACATTTGGGGTGGAGATGTCTAGATCTGCATATTTCACGTTTCTTCCAAGCTACTGCAATCCTGTTTTGCTCATAGAATACAGCACTGTCTTTGCTTCAGTCTCTTCAGAAAGACCTTGAGAGTGTTCTGCCATATCATCCATGAGACCAAAGTCTTTGCAAGGAATCCCTATAAAAACAACTTCGAAGGTCCCTGTAAGCCTAAATCTATGCCCCAGGGTTCATGCCCCCTTGAGTCTCAGCTCCTCTAGGAATGCGTAACATGAACCAGAATTTCATTTCTTTAATTTTCTTTGTATTTCATGATAAGAATGAATATAATTCACCAAAGTCTGAAAAGTACCTGCTTAGTTAATTGTCGATTACCTTTTTTTTTTCTGCTAATTTTGACAGATCGTGCACCCGCTGTTCCTGCAATGATAAACGGTGAGCTTCCTACCAACCATGTGCTACTTAGTGGTGTATATCTCACTAATTTAACATGTTTTATCATCATCTAGCTGAAGTTATAGAGAAAATAAGTAAGGGAATCTTCTAAGAGAACAACTGGTAGTCAGGGAACCATCCTTTCTAACCAAAATGCTCACTAAAATCTGGATTCCAAGCATAGGTTTTACTAACCAAAAGAGGTTTCATACTTTACAGCCCTACCAGTTCACTGGTAGGGCCAGTGAGGGGCAATGATGTGGTGGCTAGTACACTGGACCCACAGACAGGAACACCTGGGTTTAAGTCCCACATCAGACACTTACTAGTGATACTGAGCAAGCCACTTAAACTTTTGAGCCTCAGTTTCCTCATTTGTAAAAGGTGGATGCTAGCAGCACCTACCTACCTCACAAAGTTGTTGTGATGATCAAAAAAGATAGTATTGGTACAACACTTTGTTTACCTTAAAGCAGTCAGTTCACAAGTATTTATTAAGCACCTACTATGTGCCAGGCACTGTGCTACTTAAATGTCACCTATTACTATGATTAGTTAATAAGATCAGGAAGAACAAGTAATCAATAATTGTCACTCTTCTTGGAAATCTTGATGGAGGCCAAGTGCAAATGGTTAAAGACCAATTCAAGAGCAGACAGTGTATTTATTGCTTGTTGTAAGGTAAATGAAGCTTGCCTTTCTCACACCTTTAGGCACCTTGGTGAGACAAGAATCTGTCTCGGTTTATTAATCTGTAAAATGGTAGTACCTGTTCAACCTCTGTCCCCTCCCCAAGAGTTTCTGTAAGGATCAAATGGCACGATAAATGTGAAAAAACTTTGTAACCACAAGGTGCCCTACAGACGTAGGGCTTATTATTTTCGGGAGGAAGAGGAGAGATGAGAGTGCAGATAACACAGGACAGCCACTACTAGAACTCGTTTGCACTTCATGCCAACCCTGTGAAATAAGTACCATAATTACCTCCCTCCCACTTTACAGATGAGGAAACTAAGTTTTAGGGAAGATAAGTGACTTCTGTGGCGATATCACTAGTAAGTATAAAGGACAGGATTTTAATTCAGCTCTTTCCTCAATCTAAGTTGAGTCTTCGAAAGTGATGTCAACCTCAGATAGAAATGGGGGCAATTGAACCATCCCTGCCATATTGACTTAGAAAACTACCAATTAACGTTATCTATATTCTGTTGTATTTTTATTTATTGTGTTAACTATTTTCCAATTGCATTGTAATCTCATTCCAGCAGCACTCAGGAATATTGCCTGTTTCATATAGGCAGGCAATTAATTGACTTTTTTTTAAAATTTTTTTATGCAGTCCAGTGGGGGACTGGCCATGTCTTTGGCATCTCTGTTCTATGTTGCCATGTTTCCACTACCAGAAAAGCAACTTAAAGTGTATGCCCTACTTATGGTGGGTCCTAGGTGTTATCTTTGTATAAAAAGAAGAGAGCATTTCTACATTTCCCAGAATTTTACTTAGTACATTGAAGTAGTAATTTGTTAATTAAAACTAATGGTGAAACAATTGGGACTGCCTAGCATAACCAGGTAATAGAGCAAAAGTACAAGATGAGAAGTTGACAAAGCAATAGAGATGTCAGGTTAGTACATATATTTGTTTTTAAAAACAGTAGAACAGTCAAGACATTTATAATTTTATATATGTGCTTTATTCCCTAATTTTCTATGGTTATACAACCATCTTGACAAGTTTATATCTCTCACCCTATCCACTCTATCAAAGCCCAAAAATGTAACAACCCATGAGAACTTTTATTGTAAAGAAGTAAACAGGAAATTGGGGCAACTAGATGGCACAGTGGACAGAGCACCACATCTGGAGTCAGGAAGACTAATCTTCCTGAGTTCAAATCTGGCCTCAGATACTTACCAGTTGTGTGACTCTGGGCAAGTCACTTAACCCTCCTCAGTTTCCTCATCTGTAAAATAAGCTGGAGAAGAAAACAGCAAAACACTCTAGTATCTTTGCCAAATGGGGTCACAAAAAGTCAGACATGACTAAACAACAACAAAGAGGAAATTGGCTATAGTACTTATGGTTCAATTCAATTAAGAATATGTATTTAGTGCCTATTATGTGTGCCAGGCACTGAGGTAGGTTCTGGGGATACAAAGACAAAAACAGTTCCTGCCCTCAAAAAGCTTACATTCAGTTGGGAAAGTAGTAAATAGCAAGGAATTTGAGGAGGCAGAGAGCATTAAGACCTGGAAGTGAGAGTTATCAGAAGTTTCCTATAGTAGGCAACACCTGAGATGAACCTTGAAAGATGACAGTGATTGTCAATTAATAATAAAAACAAAAAATAATTTTTAAAATGTCTTCCTTCTACATTCAGGAAAATCTTCCTGCGGTGGCATCATCTCAAATACATCTGGGGCAATTAGAAACCCTCCCCAAAATGAAATGCATGACAACATAACATGCATTTGGGAAATAAAGGCCAATTCATCTGATCGCATAATGCTGGCATTTCCTTATCTTAAGTAAGTATAAAACACACTAACAGCATAGTATTGATCTAGCTTTTATAACTCCAATCATTAATTCTCTAGAGTTTCTCCTCGACAAAGGAAAATAAAATATCCTTCTACATTTTCATTTAAAATGAAATCCATCCCATATGTTTCAGTTCATTTCATTTTTAATTATAAAAAGTTTTGTGATGAGAAGCTGTACAAAGTACTAACTACAATCATTTTTATTTTTACCAGAATAGTGTTGAATCAAAATGCTATTTTGTATAGGTAGTCAATTGACTAGGACTTAGATTTTATTTTTTCATACAGAAATTTTCACTGTAGAACTTTTCATGGATTTTACCCAGACTTCATAATGAAGTTACAATTAGTCCCCTATATCTAGGAGAGGCAAATTAGGACTTTGCCTCTGAGTGCTGAAATTTAGATGGCTTTAGGGAGCACCTGCATTACTGCAGCATAGCAACAACTGAGTTTAGCACCAAGTTAGGAAATTATCAAACAGTGTGCCCCCGTCTGCTATGGCTAACCCCCTAGTGACTTCCTCTCCAGTCTGACCCTACTATGTTCCCCCTGCCCCAACCGTGGCTTCCTCAGCAGTGGTCATGCAGTGTCCTTGGGTTCTCTCCTCCCTCTTCCATCAAACTTGATTTATCTTAGAGTTGTTTTGATGGTTCAATTTGACTATTCACCCTAGACACATTTTGTGTAACTTGAACCAGCTGCAAAAAGTATTTGTTATACCTCTGGTAATAGCAATTAGCAGAGTCATACCACTTCCACAAAACCCATCTGGCAAATACACATGGTCTCTCATTTATGAATAGTTTTTATTCCAAAAGTTAATGTCAGTCTGATTGTTTGGAATTCTGATGTTTTTGCCCATTGAAATAATAGTATGATAAGGAGTTAGGTTCCCAGGCCAGCCCACAGAAGCCTATTTAACCAAAATATAGTTGAACTCTGGTTTTAAGAGTACTATCCTAAGTTCTGAGTTCTGGAAGTAGGAGAGGGTATGAGCACGTGTTGTAGGAAGGAGAAGAAGGAAGAAGAAAATATTTGCTTTCCCTTTTCTGGTACAGGATTGGGCATAAGCAAAACTTAGAAATAAACAAAATTTGTCCTTAGAATATTCCCATCTTGCTTTTATCACCTCCTACCCAATACCTAGGATTCCTGTCCAAGTCCTCACTTACTATCTGTGCTACTAAAAGCAAGTCACACAATAGTAACAGCTCACATTTACAGTGTCTTGAGTCATTTAATCCTCACAACAAATCTGAGAAACAGGGTCAATTATTATCATCACTATTTTACAGGAAACTAAAGTTTGGGGAGGTTAAATGACTTACCCATGGTCACACAGGTAGTAAATGATAGAGGTAGAAACCCCACGGTTCCCTCTGAATCTCAACCCAGTACTCATCCTACCATTTTATGCTGCCTTTTACTCATGTAACTTCTCTGATTCTCAGTTGACTCATCTGTAAAGTGGGAGTAATAATATCTATTTTTCAGGGCTGTGTGAGACTCAAATGAGAAAATATATGTAAAGTGCTTGCAAATCTTAATGTGCCATTTAAATGCCAGGGATTATCTCTGCCCATGTGATTCAGTAGAAACTATCACGTTTAAAAACAAAGTACCTAGAATCCACGTGACATTCATATGGTTCTCTAATTACGGACAATGTGAATTTGCTTCCATAGCCTAGACTGCAATAATGAATATTTTGAAATCCTGGATGGAGATCGATTTTCTTCTGATTCCCTGGGGAAGATTTGTAATGGGATCTACCTCAAATTCTCTTCTTCTTCTAACTCAATGACACTTGTGTACCACCGCAGTTACAACAACATAGGAAAGAACTTTGTTGCTTATTACTATTCTGCAGCCAAAGGTACGAATTTAAAAACAAACACAACTTCACAGCAACAAACTCTTTTACACTCAGTTAAGAAGCAAATATTGACACCCCAGTCCGGATGTAATGCTGTATCAGGTGCTAGTAGGGGAAACAAAAGCAGTATGAGATTTACTCCTCTTCCTCCTCTTGCTCCTCCTCCTCCTCTTCTTCCTCCTCCTGCTAATAATAATAATAACTCACATTTATATGATAATCTACAACTTACAAAAAGTTTTCCTTAAAGCAACTTGATTAGATAGTTATATCTACATACAGCAACCAATCTGGAAAGATTAAGATAATTTTTTTTTCTGGGGGCTAGGGACTGGCCCAAATATGTTTTGTACTTTTTTTCTTGAACCCTGTCCTATGTGACATTAGAAATGTATGTCATTGTGAAAAATCATCTCTTTTGCTTTTACTTCCTAATTAATAAAGTGTGAAATTGATGATATGAAGAGGCAGCATGGCATAATAGATAAAAGGGCTGGCCCCTGCCTCTGACATACTGGCTGTGGAACCCTGGGCAAGTCACTTGAACTCTTAGTACCACTGGCAACTCTCTAAAGCCTATATGTTTCAGAAAGAAAAGGCGCTAACCCGCACTGGGTTATCTTATCTGGGACATCTCTATAGTAGTGAAATTGCAGGTCCAGGCCCTTTCCCTAATGTATAACGTCATCAAAATATGTTTGTAAATGTTACCAATATTAACAGTACTGTAGCCTCACAGTGATTGCCATATAATTCTTTTCTTGTACTTCCAGAAACTGTTTCCAAGACACCATATGTAATAAGTGAGTCATATTTCATTTTAAATTTATTTTTTTAGAAATTGTATTCTTTGTTATATTATATTCTTACCTTATGGTTTAATGAGTATTAATAATGTATTTTATTCAGTAATCACTTTCTATTTTCTTCTATCAACCCTAATTTAGAGATATTAGATATTTCTGTACAAGTTTTTATAAGTGCAATTGCCCAACTATAACCATGTTGTGGTTTTAAACAGCTTTTAATTGTGAGGTTTTACTTTTAAACTATTTGTGTATTATAATCATAGTGATTAATAATCTAATGATAATTGAAATTAATAATTCAATGTTCTGTCAAAGAAGAGAGAACATTTATCAAAATACCCACATATCACACTGAGAACAGTAAATGAAAGCAATTCCTATGAATCAGAAGGAAATAGTTGTTTGAGTTCATCAACAAGACATGAATTTTGAATATTTCTGTTCCTAGGATTCTGTTTCCTCATCTGCATAATGAGGAGATTAGGCCATGTGATCTCTCATGCCCCTTACAATTCTAAAAATTTATGATCATACATTTAGCACTAGGAAGAACCTTAGAGACATCTGATTCAACACTCCAGTCTTACAGATGAAGCACTACCCTATTCCTTCCCCAGGCAGCTGCCTTTTCAACAGCAGTCTCTCCACACCCTGAGATATCTGCTTAAAGGAGCTAGTATCTCAGGGCTTGTGTCTTTTCACTGGAAGGACTCCATAGGGCCTCAGGTGCTGAGGTCCAAGTTCTTTTCATCCAACAATTGAATTCGGCTTATTATTTGTCCCAGATGTTTTTTGTGGCTCTTGTCCAGGCTGCCAAAATTACTGACTATAGCTCTGTCCTCTGACTCCAAATCCAGTGTTCTTAACCCATGATTATCCTAGATTTTGTTTTAAGCACAGAATGACAATGATTAAAATTTGTTAATTTCTTAAATGACTGGAGAGAGTAGAGGGCAAATGAATGCTCCTGGCTTCCAAGAATATGAAGTTGGAAATATGTTCAAAATGATGGCAGACCCTAGAACAATGTATGGAAGTTGCAAAGAAGCAAACCGTTTTGATTAATAATGACTCCCTGCTCTGGACCACTATCTCCAGATAATCCCCAACCATGCTCAATTCACTCCTAACTTTATTCAGTCTTCGAGCTTTTTTCTCAGCTTCTTTCTAATTGCCTTCCCATTGTTATGAAACCTCTTCCCTGATATCCTATTCTCTAGATTGATGATCATCTATCTAGGACTCCCTTTTCTAGCTGGGCCTCAGCTGTACTCTCTTCACTCTTAGCTCAACTCACTCTCTGGATTTTTCCTTCCCCTCTCCATCCACTGCTTTCCAGATCCCCTTTATGTGTAGTTGTTCTTCCATTAGAATGTAAACTCCAAGAGGGTAAGGTTTGCACTTAGCACAATGATTGTCACATAGAAAGTGCTTAAAACATGCCCTATCTATTTATCTATCTATCCATCTATCTGTCTATCTATCATATTGGGGCAGTACAATTAGACAATAATTTTAGAAGAACTGATATTTAATTTCTTAAAAGTCTCATTTTGTTTTGGGATTTGGGGGGGGTTTCTTGTATCCCCAGCCATTCCAACAACACCCAGCATAATTACAGCAAGACCAGGTAAACACGAACACCTCCTTTGGTTTACTAAATTAATTGCTTTCTACCCAATGGTTGGGTCTATGCAGAATCGGTACCATTTACAGATTGATGTGTCTACCTAGACATTGTCCAGTTGATTCTGCCCAAATACACTGGCATAATCAGAATCATTCAAAACCATTAGGAATGTTGGCTATGACTTCAAATAGGATGATGATGATGATGATGATGATGAAGATGATGTTGATGATGTTGATGATGATAATGAGTAGCTGACTTGCTCCTCTCTTTAGAGTCCTTGGGGTTATAATTTTTCGTTGCTCTTGGGCCTCTGTTTGGTTCCCCTTGGTTCCCCTTGGCTACCAATACATCAGTCATGGTTAGTTAGCTTTTAGAAAGGGATGCCATTCATACTAAGCATGTATATCATGAACAATTGCCATAGAAATATGCCCCGAAGGATCAGGGGCACACTCTCCTCCACATAACCACAAGAACTATTGGGAGGATGGTCACAAACAACTTGGAGTACAATGGGAAGGCACATATAAAGAGAATGTGTATGGCAAAGGGATAACTCACAGCTCTTGGTTACTGGAAATCCTTTTCTCCCTTTATAGTGTCCTCATGGAGGCTTAAAGAGTAGCTCTCTGATAACCTCTGCATGTTGGTGCCTCTGCAGAGTAGCTTCCTTTTGTTTAACATTTTAAAGAAAACAGTGTATCACTCAAGCTATGCCTATTGTTTCTTATTCTTGGCCATGAGAAAAAAAAAGTCCATGTTGAATTTGGACACTTTGAGCCTGATAAATTCTGAAGCTGAAGTATTCAACGGATTCTACTGGTTCATCCTATCTCATTTAAATGATTATTTATTTATTTCACCAAAAATTCTTAGTAGCATTCTAGGGACCACTGCAAATTAGTACCTCCATATCATCTGAATTGAATCATTTGGAGAAGCAGATTAACTACCAAAATAAAATGGTGTTAACTGGTGACTTACAGCAAAACAGTCAACCTCAATTTTTCAAGGAAGATAAACTTGATTTCAAGATTTGGAACTTAACTCCAACTATTTTTAAAAGATAAGAGAAGGGTATTTTAGGATTCCTAGCTATTGGCTAAGACAGAGGAAGTCACTGTGTTTCATAGTTAATAGTCAAATGTGTCTGTCTTTAGGAGACTGGCCAGAACTGAAGCTGGCTGGTGGTCCTGGGAGATGTGCAGGAAGAGTTGAAGTCCTTTACCAAGGAAACTGGGGTACTGTCTGTGATGATCTGTGGGATCTTAATGAAGCAGAGGTGGTATGCAGGCAGCTCAAATGTGGACAGGCTGTTTCTGCCCCAGGAAAGGCTCATTTTGGCCCAGGCTCAGGCGAAACTCTCTTGGACAACGTGCAGTGTTCAGGAGTTGAACGTTACCTTGGGCAATGCTCCCACTCTGGCTGGTCTGAACACAATTGTGGTCACCATGAAGATGCCAGTGTTATCTGCTCAGGTATACCCTCATCTCTCAAAAATCACTTCCTTTATTGTAGCCTCTCTGGACCAATTATATTGACACCCCAAAAAAGATGACAAAGACAAATAGAATAATGAAGAAATATTGACATGAAATTTTGAGTTATTCTAACCTGGAAATAATATTTCAGGTACTAGATACTCATTTTAATAAATGACTTGAGTTTGTAAATATAGATTTACTGACTATTGATATATGTATAAAGTACTCAAATATTTCTAAATTACACTGAAAACATTAAGGGAAAAATGATTAAACAATTAAATAAAGATCTTGGTGGTTATGCGAGAGAAGCTAGATATTCCCAGTGATTAAGTAATGCGTAAAAATGCAAGGGATTTGAGATGTTAGCAGAGTAAGGAGCTTCTAGTGGTGGAATTCCTTCCGTCTCTGAAGAGCTAAACTTGTCTATGGTTTAGTAGGTAGGTTCTGAGTTTTCCTGAGGAACATAAAAGTTAAGTGTTATACCCAGGATTACACAGCTACTAAGCTTCAGAAAAGAAATTTGAATTCAGGTCATCTTGATTCCAAATCCAACATTCTATATATTATACCACATTGCCTCTTTTTCCAAAGTATTTAAACAATACTTTGAAGTAAACATCATGGAAGCAATGTTGACAACACTACATCTTTAAGTTACCTTTTAGTAAATTATTACTTTCTTATTTCACCCATGGCCAATCTTATGCTGAAGGAAATATCATGAATGTGTTGGCTTAGTAAATACTTAGAGAGACAGTCCAAACCTCTTTTATCTTTTTAATTGCAATTTCCTAAAAATATTGATAGACATTTTTTATTCCTTTATAAAAACAGATGCTGAAGTTTCAAATGACACCAATCTAGGTATGTCTAAAATTAAGTTTCGGAAACAGGTAACATAACATTGTTTGCCATATCTTGATATTATTCCAAGTTACATGTTCTTCCAGCACCTAATTCAATTTAATTCAGTTCCAAAAATATTTTGGCTACTCTTTGGTTTAATTAAGCATTCTTGAAAACTCCAAAAGCTCTTTCAGACTTCTAATATGCCATTAGTAAGACACTACTTCAGTGACCAGAAAGTTTGGGGTTCAACAAAATACCTAAACATTTTTATGCTTGATACTTTGGGGCAAAACACAGACGAAAAGACCCTGGTGAATGAAAAGCTCTAGATATAGAATAATTACACTGTTCCAAAGCCAAAACTGAGAGATTTATCCAAGAATCCCAAAATTTAGAGGATGCTGCCAGCACCTATCCTCCTTTAACAAGTGCGCACAGTTGAGCTAAGCAAAAGTTAAAAAGAATAATTAAACTAGGAAGTTACTATGTGAACCACTCTTTCCCCTGGCTATGGCTTCCACAGCAGTATTGTGCTGAGGTCTCCAACAGCCAGTGTCCTGAGGTCTTTGTCTCCCCCTTCAGGGTGTCTCTTACCACTGGACCTTGTATTCTGTAAATCTGAAGTCTCACCCCAACCCCTCCAAAAACCCTTATTGACTATATTTATCTTGGTCCCAATAATTGCTATTTATATCTTTACTTTCCATTCTAGTAATTTCAATACTTTTGGCCCAGCTAACAGAACCAGTGTTTGACTCAATTTGTTAGAAGAAGTTGCCATGGATTCCAAAGATTGCAGTTTTGATAAACACATGAGCCAATCAACTTCTCACAGAAATAAACTCTGTGCCATGCACATAGCCTATACCCCTTTTCTCAGTCAGTTGCCTCAGTAATATATTGTGAGCTTCTTGAGGGCAGAAACTATCTTTTGCCTCTTTTTGTATCCCTCAGCCTTTAGCATAGTGCTGAGCACATAGTAGGTGCTTAAAAATGTTTATTGAATGAATGAATGAATGAATGAATATGTTATTCATCACCAAGGGGAATGTATAAGAGATCACGCAGGTAGCTCAGCCTTAATGAATCCTCACTGCTGATAAATCAATTCAAAGCACATATCTTACTAACAATATTGTATTCTGCATACAAGATGTCACCCTTGCCATGAATGCATAAATTCTGATCTCTTGTGAAGAAGAGAGCACCAAGAAGTTTAGTCACCTGAGAGCACAGTGACTGTAATACAAATGTACAAGGAGTACTAGCCCATCGGGCCCAACTACAACAGCTATTACTTCTCACCTCCAGGACTGAGCTCTTCAAGGCATGGGTTATGCCTTGATCATTACACTGAGAATTGGAAGGGACTTCAGAGATCTCTTAATACAATCCCCTCTTTTTAAGACAGGGAAGCCAAGCCCCAGAGGAGTAAGGTAATTAACTTTCCCAAGATAAAAGTAACCAATATTGGAAACATTTAAATCCAGGCCTTCTGTTTCCACATCCAGTCCTTTTCCCACTACATCATATAGGTAACTTATTCCTAGAATAAAGTAGACACCATACCTTCCATAGGTTCACAACGAGTAATTTTTTTGTCTTTAGAAGACTGGCCACAACTGCGACTGGTGGGTGGTTCAGGGCCATGTGCAGGCCGAGTGGAAGTCTATTATCAAGAGGGCTGGGGCACAGTGTGTGACGACCTGTGGGATCTAAATGAGGCAGAAGTGGTATGCAGGCAGCTGGGCTGTGGACAGGCTGTGTTAGCCCCTGGAGAAGCGCGCTTCGGCCCAGGCTCAGGATACATCCTCTTGGACAATATGCAGTGTGCTGGGACTGAAGACTACCTAGGCCAATGCTCCCACTCTGGATGGTCCAACCACAACTGTGGTCATCATGAAGATGCTGGCGTCATCTGTTCAGGTATTCATTACTCTGTCAAGAAATCCATTTCTAAAGTTTCACTCAAATGCCATGGTGTCTAAAAGCCACAGGGACCCTAAATACAAATAACTTCCTCCCTTTCCACCCTGCCCATCCATCCTTCTCTCTATTTGAGTTGTTGAATGTCTCCAGAAAAGAATATTTTGGTCATATTGACCCAAGCACAACTAAAGAAAAAATAACACCCCCATCACTGCCCTCCAGAATTAATTCTAGCTTCTCCTTCACTTTGTATTTGCTTTTTCAAAAATGACATTTTATTTCTCTATACAAGCAGATGCAAGAAACTTCACTACTACACCACCAGGTATGTAAAAGACTATATCACGTTTGTAGATCACATCTTTCTGGCTTCTGAATTCTCCTTGTACTTTGGCCTCCTCTTATTACACTTTCACATCCTACCTCGTATTTATTAATAGTCACTCACATACATGTCTTACTGCCCTTACTAGATTATAAGCCCCATTATAGAAGAGAAAATGAACCTGTATGTAGTAAGCGTTCTAGAAATCTATATCTATAATGAAATGTTCAACCAACAAATATATATGTATATATCATATATACATATCTCTCTATATGTACATGTATCATGTACATGTATATAACACTGGACTATACTTAGACATATACATATATAATGTACACGTATTGCTGTTGAGTTGTTTTTCAGTCATGTCTGACTCTTGGTGATGCCATTTGGGGTTTTCTTGGCAAAGATACTAGAGTGGTTCACCATTTCCTCTCCAGCTCATTTTACATATGAGGAAACTGAGACAAACAGGTTTAAGTGGCTTGCCCAGGGTCACACAACTAATAAATGTCTGAGGCCAGATTTTAATTAAGGAAGATGAGTCTTCCTGACTCCAGGCCTGGCACTCTATCCACTGTACCACCTACCTCCCCCTATGTATGTGTATACATACTGCAAATACTTGCAATGTTCACACACACATACACACACACACACACACACACAAAGTATATGTATTTGTTGGCTGAACATTTCATGGGGCTAAGTATCATTCAAGAAAGAATGATCAATGCGGTTAGGTCAAAGATAAGAAATTAATTGTGACAGCATTACTGGAAGAGAAACCTGGTGTTAGTGAGAAATGGCAAAGTTGATTTTATTTTTTGTAAGTGCTGTTCCATGAATTTTAAAATCAGCAAAGGCATAGCCAGGAGTTAGTAGAAGAAAGCAGTATTTCTCGCAGCCTAGGACCTCTAGTGTGACTTAACTTCCTCAAATTCATATGATATCTGTCCTATATACCAGCATGTAGTAATCAATCTTCTATGGGGAAACAACAAGGCGCAACATCCTACCCTAATAATAATCCCCTCCACCTCCAGTCCTTGCTACCTCTAACTGGACCCCAGTACAGCTACTCCCCAGACAGTATCTTATAGTCCAGGTTCCTCAAGTTGCAGGTGAGAGCAAAATGGGTGTGGGGGAAAAAATCATGAAAGAGATGGGTTCTGAGCAAATTTTTGTTTACTATTCTTTAAGGCCTGAGAAACAAATTTTCTAGTCTCATTATAAAATCAGTTGCCAAATCTTTTTTTTTACTTTCAAATCTCAGGAAGATAGATATATAAATGAGAGATAGATAGACAGATAAGTAGACAGATAGAAAAATATAGGTATACCCCATTCTCCCCATTTATATAGGCATAACCCTAGGTCAGATCCTTTATACCTCCCTGAACTGATTGTATATGTGTTTTTCAAACAGAGAAGAATGAAGCAAACAGGTGGATTTAAGGTGAAGAAACAAATTTGAAAAAAACATTCATTTAGCACTTCCTGACTTATTCTAGCCATACTAAGAATATTAGCTCTGCCATAAGGGACCCTTAGCATTTTATCCATCTCTAAACTTACATATGTCAAGTCAAGTAAATAAACATTTATTAAGTACTTACCATGTGCCAGGTACTGGCTAAGAGTTGGAGATACAAAAAAAGCAAAAAAACAAAAAAACAAAAGGTAGTCCCTGCTACAGCTTCTAACTGCTAGAAGTATCAAGGAAGGAGCAAGCCTGGGGTTTCAGCACGCCTTTGAGAAGACTGACTGGGATGAAATGGGAGCTATAGAAGAATCATTGGTTGTACAAGCCTCAGCCTCTCACATCTAAAGACCCAAGCTGAGATAAGAAAAAAGGTAAAGCATATTTTAAACAGAAAATAATTCAGAAGGAGGAAGACCAAATCAAGATGTCTAGCTCTGTTGCTGCCAGATTGTGGTTGTTGACAGATCATACAATCAGAGAAGACTATCCCCAACAGGGGATACTACAAGCTCTAGAGGCTAAATGTTGTGAGGAGGAACTAGACTTCAGAGCTGTGGTGATGGATGAAGTTGTGTTAACTGTCGGGCAAGGGAATTTGGGTCTCCGAATAAATGGGGAGTTGATCACTGCGTATTCCCAGGTGGTGGTAACAAGGGTGCTACACCTTGGGTGCAGAGTGATAGTGATATCGCTGTATTACGTCACCTAGAGAAGATGGGGTGCCGGCTGATGAACCGGCCTCAAGCTATCCTGAATTGTGTCAATAAGTTCTGGACCTTCCAAGAGCTAGCTGATGCCTTCTCTTATGGTGGTCATGAAAATTTTGCTAAAATGATTGATGAAGCAGAAGTATTGGAATTCCCAATGGTGGTGGAAAACACATGAGGTTATAGAGGTAAAGCTGTTTTCCTGGCTTGAGAGAAGCACCACTTGGCTGACCTAAGCCATCTTACTCGCCATGAAGCGCCATAACTATTCCAGAAGTATATAAAGGAATCTCATGGCCCAGATGTGCGTGTCATTGCGGTGGGAGGCCATGTAGTTGGCACTATGCTGCGCTGTTCAACTGATGGAAGGATGCAAAGCAGCTGCTCACTAGGTATGGTGGGAATGACGTGCTCAATGAATAAGGAAAACTGCTTGCCATCCAGGCGTCAAACACCTTGGAAATGGATGTGTGAGGCATTGACCTACTGATGAAAGACGACGGCTCATTCTGCATCTGGGAGGCCAATGCAAACGCAGGTTTCATCGCCTTTGATAAGGCTTGTCATCTAGACGTAGCTGGTACTGATAGCAGACTATGCCACCTCCCTCCTGCCCCCTGGCTGGCTCACACGGCGCATGTCCCTGCTCTCCGTGGTGTCCACGGCCAGTGAGACTAGTGAGCCAGAGCTGGACCCCCCAGCCAGCACTGGTGTCGACAACATGAGCGCAAGCTCCAGCTCTGTTGACAGTGACCCTGAAACCACGGAGAGGGAGCTACTCACCAAGCTCCCGGGGGGCCTGTTCAACATGAACCAGCTGCTAGCCAATGAAATCAAACGCCTGGTGGAGTGACTCCACCTGTAAATAATTAACGAACAAAGCCCTTGTAAATCTTTCTCTCTTTTTTTTTCCTTTTTTTTCCTTCCTTTTTTGAAACCAACTTGCAATGCTGTTTATGAGAGAAGCTCAGGGAGCTGGAGGGGAAACTGAGCCAGGTCAGATAAGAGAACAAAGACAGAAAAGGAAAAAACTATGTTTTTCAATCCATTTTTTAATACTGCAGAACCATTCAATGTAATTTTACCATCTTAATTAATAAGGCAGAAAAGTGGGTATAAGGTCTTCAGGCTTAAGTAGACAATTCCTTCACTACTGTTAACCTTTTAAAATAACCTTCAAAATGAATGTGCTTATATTATGAAGGGCCAGAGAAGAGGGGGTGTAAGATTCTTTCACAACCCCTTATATCTTTTGTGTTTGGAAAGTCAACACTTTACTGTGGACGATAATTCCCCTCTCTTGAGATCATTTATTAGAAATGGGTCAGAGGAAACATCTAAAATTAAAGAAGCCTTTTAATATCAAAACTGGAATTTCTGCCATTTCAGTATCCAATTCTATGTCAATATGTCTTTACAAGTCTTCCAGAACAGGTCCTTTATATCTTATGGTTGGATTTTTTTTTTCATAGTAGATGGGAGGGCAAGATAGACATGATCTGTAAACACATTTCTTAATGACAGAAATGACATGTTTGCATAATGGAAGATAGAGGAACAGCATTACAATGTTTGGTGTACAAAGTAAAATTTAATCGAATGTGGAAAAACTTACACTAGTTTAAAAATACATGCATTGCCTTGTATTTGTTAATGTTTTAGTCTTTTGGAAGCTATGTACTATGTTAATGTTGCACTTTTTTAATACGTGCTAGTTCAGTATTCCCTGCTCTATGCCTGCATCTTTAAAAATGGCCAAAGTGAAGAAAACGCTACCTTTTGTTAACAAGACACTGAATGGGGAAAAAAAAAAGTCCCTGCTTTCAAGGAACTCACAGTCTAATGGAGGAGACAATGCGAATTATGTACAAAGGAAATATATCCAATATCCACGTACAGTGTAGCTTGGCATGGAGGCATACATCTGTAATCCTTAGGAGAGGCAAATGCTGATGGATTGCTTGAGCTTGGGATTGTTGGGCTATAGTAGGATTAAAGATGATTGGATATCTACGCTAACTTCAGCACCAATAGAGTAAGAATCCAGGAACGGAGGTCACCAGATTGCTTAAGAAGAGAAAAACTGACCCAACTCAAAATCTGAGCAAGTCAAAGCTTCTGTAATGATCAGCAGTGGGATTAGGCCATGAATGAATACTGAACTTCCAGCCCGGGCAAAATATTGAGTGTAAAAAAAAAAAAAGATATGAGACAAATTGGAGAAAATCACAAAAGAAAGGCATTCAGTTTAAGGGTGATAGATAAAGGCTTCTTATAGAAGGTGGAATCTTAGCTAGGATTTGAAGGAAGCCAGTAAAGCCAAAAGATGGAGATGGGGGATGTGGGGGAGAGGATTCCAGGCATGGGGCACAGTCGATAAAAATTCTCGGAGCTGAGAGAAGAATTGTTCTGCATGAAGAATAGCAGAGGCCAATGCCATTAGATTGCATAGTATATGGTGAAGAGTAAAGTCTAAGAAGAATGTAAAGAAAGAAAGGGGGCAAGTTACAAAAAGTTTAAAAAGCCAACTAGAGGATTTTATATTTGTTCCTAAAGGTAGCCATTAGAGTTTATCAAATGGGGACTGAGAGAGACCTACACTTTAGGAAGACCATTTTGATTGTTAAGAGTAGAAAATGGATCGAAGTGGCTTTGTTTGTTTTCCCTTATTCATTTGCTTACTTCTCTTTCTAGATTCTCCAGAAGTTTCCAGAAATTACACAGAAGGTATATCTTTGTTTTCATCTAAAACTTCAGAAAGAATGTAATTCAAACTAGCTTGATGGTAATAGAGATATCAATGATCCATCCACAGTGATCTAGATTTTAGAATATGTCTTGAGACCCCTCTCAGGCGGGACAGTCTTGTGGCAATCCATAGAATGGTAGAAGAATTACAGTTGTTAAGAGAAAGGACAGTGAAGTCACGTATGATTTTGTTGCTAACTAACATGATGGTCAATGATTCAGGATAAGGTCAGATAAAAAAACCTCAATTATACACTCACTGATCCACATCACAGTGTCTTTAAGCACAGGGGGAACGAACGAACGAATCATGCTTAATTACCTTTCACTCTTATTTCACACAATTCTGTCTCACTTTATGTTCCAGTCAAACTGAACAATTTGCAGTTCCTCTAACACATCTTGTGTTTTTCCCACTTCCATCCCTTTTCTCCTACTGTCTCCCATGCCTGGAAGGTGGTCCCCCACCTCCACATTCCAGTTGGAATTATATCTATCCATCAAGACCCATTCTAAATACCATCTCCTTTGGAAGACCTACTTTGATCTCTAATTGATTTTTAGTTCCCATGAGCCTTCATAAACACCTTGTTCCTGTTCCTTTTGTAGATTTGTCATATTCCACTTTTTGTACTTCATTTATAGAGTTCCCTTCCTTTTTCTCCATGTAGCTCTTTTCCCTAGTGTTCTCAGCTCCATGATTCTGCCATTCTCCTTACCCTCCAGTAGATGGCACTTATTCCCTTTCCCAGGGAATCAGTTTGCTAACCACTGGGCCACAGAAGAGCATTGGAAATGTGTTTAACTGATAAATGGCTTCCAGAACAGAGTCCTCCGTTGCTCTCTCTCTCTGTTTTTGAAGAAGGATTCATACAACTCCAGAACTCACACAAAAGCCATTTCTTAGAGGAATTTAAATCATCTTTTGATCATTTGATCATTTATTTTAGCCATTTTCTCCAATCCCACGTAATCTTATTGCCAATTTCAATTACTTCTCCTAAGCACTTATGTGGTGTACATTCTGCTTGATTAGTATTTTCTACTGAGCCAAAAGTTCTAGGGCAAGGGTGGGGAACCTGAGGCCTTTAGGCCACATGTGGCCTTTGAGGTCCTTAGGTGTGGCCTTTTAACTTGTCCAGGTTTCACAGAACAAATCCTTTTATTAAGGAGATCTAGTCACAGGGCCTCACTTGAGGACCTAGAGGGCCACATGTGACCTTGAGGCCTCAGGATCCCCACCCCTGGTGTAAAGACTCAGGAGGAATACCCCATTCTCCTTTTCCACCTGTTTCTTCAGCCATGGTGTCTCCTCTAGCCAGTTACCTGAGGTTGCTTCCTGAAGCACCTAGAATAGGTGAGGAATGAAACCTAGCATAGCCTGTTACAGAGGAGGTTTTGTAATACTCTATACATAGACATGTCTTAGCCTACCTATTCAATTATAAACTACTTGAAGACAGGGACTAGGTCAAGTTTAGCCAACAAGCATTTATTAAGTACTTCCCATGTGGGAACTGGAGATACAAAAACAAGTAAAAAGAAAAACAGTTCCTGACCTCAAATAACATGTGTTATCTTCTAAAGACAGAAGATAACGCATTAAGGGGAGGTGAAATAGGATGTGGAAGGTACCTGCATGGGTGGATGGGGGCAAAGTCCAGAGGAGGAAAGATGGCTGGTCTGGGACCTTTGTCAAAATGAGGCTGTAAGAGGAACCAACGGGAGAAGGGGGTTTGAAGGACAAAGGGATAAGGCAGTTCCCTCAGTGGTAGCAAGAAGTCTGCAGGATGGTGGCAAAGTCTGGAGAGTAAAGCATGACTACTCTGGGCCCTTCCTCGAAATGGAAGTCTTATTCATTTCTACATTACCCATACTGTCTAGCACAGTGCCATTTATTAAGCGGGTAGATAATATGTATTTGTTGAATTAATGTTTCTATAAATCAAGGGTTCTTAGGCTGAGATCTGTGAACTCACTTTTTATTTTATTTTGTTTTGTTTTGTTTGATCACTGTATTTCAATATAATTGATATTTTTGGGTAATCCTATCTGTTTTATTTTATACATTTAAAAACATCATTCTAAGGAGGGTTCAGTAGCCTTCCTGGAACAAAAGGGTCCATGGCACAAAAAGGCTAAGAATCCCTGTTATAATGCTGACTCTTTCAACTAAAGAAAGTGGAAGAAGTTTGCTGAGATACCAGTACATTAACCAGATATAGACGAATCAGATGGGACCAAAATATCGAATCTGACCCAGCTGAGGTAGCTCAGCTATGCTGCAAGGGGTAAGAATCAAAAGGCATTATACCGCTGCTGACTCGTCTTCCAAGGAATCAAATTCAGCACATTTTTTTTGGCTCGAGGCTGATTTAGTGAGAGTCATAAAGATCCATCTTAAAACTCTCTTGGGAGAAGAGAACTATGAGTGCAAAATTTCCATGAGTCAATGACTGGTTTGGATTCTGTGGAAGTAAATCTACACTGCTGCATTTCTTTCTTTTGTCTTTAGGAGAAAGTAATTCTTGTGGTGGTGTCATTTCAAGTCTTTCTGGCTCATTTTCTAGTCCGCAGTATCCTGAAAATTACCCTACAGACATACAATGTGTCTGGGAGATACACGTAGATAGGAAATTCCATATCGAGCTCATGATTCCAAATCTGAAGTAAGTAAATGATTTATGTTGTTCCATTAATCTGTAGAAGATTAGAGATGGGAAGGGCCCAAGAAATAATAAACCTCTTCATTTTACAGAAAAGGAAACTGAAGCCTAGAATAGGGAAATGACTTGCCCAAGGTCACTCACATACAGCTAATAAGTTGCAGAGCCAAGACCAGACCAGGTTTTCTGCCTCCTGTATCAGTGTTCAATCTTTACATTGTTTCACCAGTCAATTAAAAGGCATTTATTATACAATCATCTCACTTCTTTCCTCCTCCATGAACCTTTCCCTTATCAGCCCCAGTTGGGGTAATCCTATCCTCAAAATTTCCCTAGTACTTACTACCTATACCTCTTAGTTGGCATAGCCCCCTACTACCTGGTGTTATCACATTTTAAATGTGTTTATATCCATTTCCCAACTATCCTGCAAACTCTGTAAGATCAAGAATTCTTTCTTCTGCCTGACACTAAGAACAGAACTTTAAAATAATATTCTTCAGCTAACTATCACAAAATTTAGGTTAGGTTTTTAACTCGTGGTTTTAGCATAGATATTTTCTTTTATTAAGAAAATATTTAGGGGCAGCTAGGTGGCGCAATGGATAAAGCACCAGACCTAGAGTCAGGAGGACCTGAGTTCAAATCCTGCCTCTAGACCAGACATTTGACACTTACTAGCTGTGTGACCTTGGGCAAGTAAGTCACTTACCCCCAATTGCCTCACCAAAATAAAACAAAAGGAAAAAACAAACAAAAAAAACATTTAGGCAGAAAAAAGCAAAATTATAAAACTCCATAGTATTATCAATACTGAATACTCCTTTTGTTTTATTATCATCAAAAAGAATTCATTCAATTTAAATAAATTTGACCCTGACATAAGTAATTCATCTTCCTAACATCTCTCATTTAAGTAATTGTCCCCTACAGTTTCTCCTTTGAATGGTCTTATGCTAATTCCTGAATCATATCATCTTCTTTTATTTAGGCTTTCTTCCTATTTCTGCTCACTAACATCTGCATCCTATCAATCAATCAAGTATTTATGAAGGGCAGAAGTGTGCTTAATGGCACTATTCAAGTCACTAAGGATACACATTTTTAAAAAATCAAACACTCCCTACTACCAAGGAGTTTACATTCTAATAGATGAGACAACAAGTATATATAAAAATAAGTGGAGCATAATATAAATCAGATAAATTCAAATATATACAGAGTAGTTAAATACAATATATTTAAGGGAGGAAAGGCACTGGTATAGGTTAGGTAGTGCAGTGAATAGAGCACTAGCCTAGAGTCAGAAAAACGTGATTTCAAATCTGGCCTCAGATACTTACTAGCTGTGTGACCCTGGGCAAGTCACTTAACCTCATCCACCCCAGTTTGCTTGTCTGTAAAATGGGAATAATAATAGTACCTAAGTCCAAGGGTTGTTGTGAAAATAAAATTAGATAGTATTTGTAAAGCACTTTGCAAATCTTAAAAGCACTCTAGAAATGCTAATGATGATGATGATGATGATGATGATGATGATGGCGATGACTACGATGATGATGGTGCCTAAGCTATATCTTAAAATAAGAGAGTACTACGTGAGAGGGAGGGAGTATATTACAATCATGGGGAAATGGCCAGTTCAAAGGAACATGGGAGACGTGGTTTTGTGTGTGAGGAACAGAGAGAAGGCAAGTTTAGCTGGATCACAGAGTTCAAAAGAAGTAGTAATATACAATGAGCTTGGAGACAGAGGTTGGAGCCAGGTTGTATACGATTTTAAAAGCTAAGAGAGAAGTTTTGGGTTTTTTTAAATTATATAAGAAATAGGAAGACAACCAACTGAGGTTAGTTGAGTAGGAGAATCACATCATCAGAGCCACACTTAAGGAAAGTTACTTTGACAACTACAGTGATTTGGATGTGTGTCGTATCTAGTGAGCCACTGATTTGGAATGTGCCCCCTAATGTGTAACAGGTGTGTACACTAACCAATTGAGAACCCAGCCTACAAAAGCAAAGTTCCATCTCTTACATCAATATTTTTTAAAAGAAATGAGAAAAGAAGATACACCTTATTCCTTCTCATTTCTTTCAAAATAAAATTACATCTTATCCCATATGAATATGATGAAACAATAAATAACATAATCAATCTTTACTTTCACTTTCAAAACCCATCTTTCTGACAACTACCAATTCTTTCAAAGTGATTTTCTCAAGAGCGGCTACCACATTGCAAATGAGTTCCATCTCTCTTTTTCTCCAGCTGTCATTTTAATTTCAGTACCCAATTATTTGCCCTATAGAAAGTCTGAGAATACTATTGTAAAATATTGTGTAGTACACATTATTATTCCTTTATGATGCTAAGTGTGATTGGTGAATGGTGTAGCTGGTGATAAAGTTCTGCTCTGAAAGCTTTTGATTTGCTTTAATAATATAACTATGATCATTGGGCAAAGAAAGTGAAAGGCCCAGAATGCAAAAAGATTTTTTTAAAAAGGTAGCTAATGCCATATATCTTAAAGTATGATTTTAAACTCAAACCAGATCTTCATTTCAAACACTCTTGAGTGTTTTGTCTAGGTTGCTGCTTTGCTTTAAATCTGGAAGGTTCTTACAAGACTAATTCTTTGGTTACCTTCTCAGGTTGGAAGACATCTATGGCTGTCCTTACGATTTCATTGAAATATTTGACGGACCACAAGTGGCTTCTCTGTCCGTGGGGAGATTCTGTTCCTCTGTGGCACTCACCTTTTTCTCTTCTTCAAACATCATGACGATTGTGTTCAGAAGCGACTCTATGATCACCAACACAGGCTTTTATGTGATGTACAATGCTGTTAGGCAAAATGAACAGGAAACAGGTAAGTAATTTAAATTGGGTCCTTTGTTTTTAAAAAAAACCGGGGGGGGGGGAAGTGTTCAGTTTTCCAAAACCCATCATTTAAATCCAATCTCATCTAACAGCCTCCTTATCAGCATAACTTGGAGATTCATTCTCAAGCATCATCTTGACTTTATTTCTGCTCGCTAACAAAGGTGATATTGCAGGTTGACACAGGCCACTTAGATAACTCTTTGTGACCTGAAAGAGGATATAAATGGTTACCTACCTTGTTTCCTATGCCATCTGTGCCAAGTCCTCCTATAGCTCCAAGTCTACAGAAACCCACTATGTGAAAGTTCTTCCAGAAAAGAGTGCTGGAACCATATCTCCCCCATTAGTAAAATCCATGTTCTCCTAGCAACTGAACTACATTCTGACTGATGTTCAGATAGATCCACATTCGTGGCCGATAAAAGCAGACTAGTCAAAAGTCTTTTTTTCTGTTTTGGGTGAGCCATGGCACATAAAAATGGACATGGAGGAAGCGAGAGTCAATTCCTTCATTGCTATTAAACTGTGGGCAGAATGGAACATTAAGCGTACTTTTAATCAGTTGAAGAGGTACATAAGATATCTATTGGAGCACCATTAGTTCTTTCAGGCCATTAGGGTATGGTTAACTTGGGAAGCATGTTTAGAAATACTGCACTACACCAATGAACCCATAATCTTATTAGTGTTATTCCCCCCAGGGATTCAGATGGCAAGCCATCCATGCCTGCCCATCCTGTATAACTCTCATCCAAATCCTCCCATAAATTCATCACAGGTGATCCACCCTGTTCTGGTGGCCTTCCTTACAAATGTTTGTAAATACATAACGTAATATCATCTGTTCTCACCAAAGTTAAAAATAAGTCCAGGTTTACGTAACCAGCATGGACTAAATTAGAATGGAAACAATGCTGTCCATTTTATTTGCTGGAGTCCATCTTACTGCTGCTCAGTAGGCAATTAGGTATATTAAGACTTCACTGGACAATACAACCATTTATATGCACCAAAATAAATATGGAAATCAAAGTTTTTATTCTTTGAACCACATTTCTCCTTTGTTTCTACTGCCCAATATTTGGGGAATGAATGAATATAAATTATACTGGAATCTTCCAGCTATGAGAGAGAAATACTCATTGAAGGAATAAGGATACCAATTATTAAGTGACTAAAACAAACCCTGAAACAACATCTGATAATAAATATACTTCTACAGTAGTACTGAGGTACAACCATGTTTTGGTATTTATAGGGGAAACATTTTAAAATGGGAAGATATTGAAGATCCTTTGTACTACACTGTCCTACTTTATTAAGTGTAATTCATTCCTCACCTGAGATTTCAAAAGTTCACAGTTAAAATTTGTCTGTGTTTAGATGAAGGAACAGAATTGCGCCTTGTTGGTGGTTCTGGGAGATGTGCAGGAAGAGTCGAGGTTCATTACCAGGGAACCTGGGGCACAGTGTGTGATGACCTATGGGATCTGAAGGAAGGAGAAGTGGTATGCAGGCAGCTCAAGTGTGGAAAAGCCATTGCAGCCCCTGGGGAAGCTCACTTTGGACCGGGCTCAGGAAGCATTCTCTTGGACAACATGCAATGTGCAGGAAATGAGAACTATCTTGGACAGTGTGCCCACTCTGGCTGGTCTCAGAACAACTGTGGTCATCATGAAGATGCTGGAGTCATCTGTTCAGGTATACATTCTTCCCTCAACATTCCTGACCCTAGTATTTAACTTGGATACATCCTACTGCTAACTGCAAAGATATAACAACAGAAAACAGCAAGAGAACAGTGGCCCAGGAGATGTTTCCATCTTGGTGGGGGAAAAAAAGACAGCCATCTCACAGAAAAACGACCAGGACCATAAAATTCAGTTGTTCCTAGTTACAGAAACAATTCTATGTAATAATAATAGCTAACACACATATGTTTATGTAGGAGAAAAAAAGAGATGTATATGTGTGTAGGTATACACATATATTTGTGTGTGTATATATTTAGTGCTTACTATTTTGTGTATATTTTTTCATTTGACACAATCACCTTGTGAGGTGGTTATTTTCAATCTAAGCGAGTAAACAAAAGTTGAGAGTAGTTAAGGGTCACAAAATTAATGAGCATCTAAGGTGTTATTTGAACTCATAACTTTCTGACTTCAGATCCTGCACCCTGTCTTCTAGGCTATGGAACTTCTCTAGTTGCCTATTGGAGCTTAAGATTTAGGACTTGGAAATACAAGTGTTAATGCTCAACAGATACTAAGTGCACTTCTTATGGGCATGGCCACCATAGCAAGAGTTTCTTACTAATTTTTAAAGTGCAAGTAGAATTTTCCTTAATTTTTAAATTTTCTTTTTCTACAAAAATAGATGCTGAAAATTTGATGCCAGGTGTGATTCCTACACCTCCAGGTATGCCAAGAGCTCTGTAAGAATCCTAATTATCCTCAGCAAATATTTTTGAATACCTACTGCGTGCACAGCACCAAGTCAGGCACTGAGGAATGGGGATGTATTATGTTTTTAATAAATGCTAATTTCATAAAAAGAACCACTTAAGTATTATCTTCCCTTGAATTTCAGATGGGATTATAGAATCAATGTAATTCTTACCCATCAAGGAAATATCCAAGCAACTATAGCATCAGTAAATCTCAGAACTTAGCAGAAATCAATAATGATTGACTTTTGTGAGAAAGTCTTTTGATGCAGTCTCCTCAGCTGGTTGAATCATTTATAAGTCAGGAGTAGGACTTTCTCTACTGAGAAAACATCAAAGGCATCAAAACATTGAAATCAATAGTAATAAGGATTCTGGCTTGCATTTAAATGCATTTTTTAAAAATTCTAAACTTTTCCTGTTTTTTTTCCAGTTCTACCAGCAACCATGCCCAAAGGTAATTCTCCCCTGTTGAAAGTCTTTCACTTCCCTATAATGTTATTAGTTGAAATCACTATTTCTATAATCCTTAAAAGCAGGGTAGATTTTCTTCTTCCAACAATAATTCAGTTGGCAATTATGAGGGCAAAGGACTGAGTGAATTAAAATGCCCCTAAAACAACCTCCCTTGCATCCATCCCTGCCATGAAATCTAAAGTTGATGGGCAGGTAGGTGATGACTTAACATGGCTGGAGGTGGAGGGAAGGTGTGGAAGGGTGGAATAATTCCATATAGGATTGGTCTGCTAGGGCTAAGAATTAAGGACATTCAATGTGAAGCAGATAACTAGTACCATGGCATACCTGCTATCTCAGCTCATGAGCATGTCAGTCCAGTATCAAGGTAACATAACATTTCTATTTTTAGGGTACAATCTCCATGACTAACCGTTTCTGCCTTACACACTCTCTCTCTCTCTCTCTCTCTCTCTCTCTCTCTCTCTCTCTCTCTCTCTCTCTCTCTCTCTCACACACACACACCACACACACACACACACACAGAGGCTCTTTATATCTGTCCTTGATTTGCATACCAAGATTCATAACTAAACCATCTTCCCAACTTGCCAGTTCCCAAACTATGAGGTAGAATGAATGTTACATGTATCTACCACACTTTCTTTTGGATTCTTTGTGGTGAAAATATAAAAATGTGTAAAAGTAAAACTTGATTTCCTTTTTCCCCTTTTTGTAGGAGGAAGTAACTCTTGTGGTGGAGTCATCTCAAAGCTTTGGGGCTCATTTTCTAGCCCCTGGTATCCTAAACACTATCCAACAGATATAGAATGTGTATGGGTCATACATGTGAAGAGAAATTCCGCATAGAACTTCAGGTCCCCAGCCTGAAGTAAGTAAACAACCTAAACCATCATACCTCCAATATCCAGATTATACTGGAATCAGTACTTTTACTAAATACACCCGGATTTTCCCTATGAGAAAAATTTTTTTTTCAAAATTTCAGTTGGCTTTTATCTAGAAGTTCTAGAAAAGGAGATTATTTTGCCCTTATTTTTGCATAGTTTACCCAATCAACTTTTTTTTCTCTTTACAGCTTTTCCATTTTTGTTTCTCACCCCCATCTTAGTAGTACTAAGTTTCCTGACAGCTTTTCCTTCTGGCTTTATCTTTCCAGACTGTATCACAGTAAACTTCCTCTCCTTTCTCCAACTTGCTTCCAAACATCTTCAGATATAAGGAAGTGCTGGATGTAGTGGAATAAAGGCTAAAGTTGGAGTCACAGGACCTGAGTCAACTCTTGGCTCTGTCAGTTACTCTCTGGGTAACCTAGAACATGTCAATAACCTTCCTGGATCTCAGTTTCCTCATCTGTCAAAGGAAGGAATTAAACTAGATGACCACTAAGATCCCTTACAGCTCTTAAATTCATGATCTTATCTTTCCTGGACACAATTCAGTGCCTTCAATCTGTATTTAGTCCCCAAGTGCTGCTGCCTTTGGGCTGTGATTTGCTTTTTAAAATAGTTGCCTTAAAAATGCAGTAAATTAGTATACAAAAAAGAAGCAAGCAGAAGCAGACAGATAGATATTGATATTAGCTAGATGATAGATAATAGAAAGATAGATAATAGCAAGCAGATGGATAGATGATAGATAATAGAAAAATAGATGATGTTCGTTATTTAGATAAAAAGGCTGATACTACAAGAGGACTGGGAGAGCAAGTAATAGTTTACCTGTCAGATTTATGGAGAACAGAAGTATTTATGACAAAACAGGAGATAGAGAACATTATGAAAAGCAAAATGGGTAATTTTGATTACATTAAATTGAAAAGTTTTTGTACAAACAAAGCCAATGCAACCAAGATTAGGAGGGAAGCAGAAAACTAGAAAAGAATTTTTACAATTACTGCCTCTATATAGAGAACTAAGTCAAATTTATAAGAATACAAGTCATTCCCCCATTGATAAATGGTCAAAGGATATGAATAGGCAGTTCTCAGATGAAGAAATTAAAGCCATATATAGTCATATGAAAAAATGTTCTACATCACTATTGATTAGAGAAATGCAAATCAAAATAACTCTGGGGTACCACATCACACCTATCAGACTGTCCAACATGACAAAACAGGAAAATGATAAATGTTGGAGAAGATGTGGGAAAATTGGAATGCTAATGCATTGTTGGTGGAGTTGTGAAATGATCCAACCATTTTGAAGAGCAATTTGGAATATGCACAAAGGGCTATAAAAATGTGTATACCCTTTGACCCAGCAATACTTCTAGGGCTGTATCCCAAAGAGATCATAAAAATGGGAAAAGGACCCACATGTATAAAAATATTTATAGCAGCTCTTTTTGTAGTGGCAAAGAATTGGAAATTGAGGGGATGCCCATCAATTGGGGAATGGCTGAACTAGTTGTGGTATATGAATATGATGGAATACCATTGTACTATAAGAAATGATGAGCAGTCAGACTTCAGAAAAACCTGGAAAGACTTGTATGGACTGATGCTGAGTGAAATAAGCAGAACCAGGAGAACATTGTACACAGTAACAGCTATGCTGTGAAATGACTAATTTTGATAGACTTAACCCTTCTCAGCAATGCAAGGATTTAAGACATCTCTAAAAGTCTCAAATGCTATCCATATCCAATGAAAGAACTATGGAGTTTGAATGCAGATCAAAGCATACTATTTGCTGTTTTTTTCCTTCTCTTTTGTTTTGTTTCTTCTTTCTGGTGGTTCCTCCTATTGGTTCTAATTCTTCCTTACAACATGACTAAGGTGAAAATATGTTTAATATGTAAAGCCTACATCAGATTGTACCATCTTGGGGAAGGAGGGGGAGAAAAGGGGAGAAAAATTTAAAACTCAAAAGCTTTATTAATAAAAAAGAAAGATAGATGGTGGATAGATGACAGAAAAATAGATTGATAGATGATAGAAAAACAGATTGATAGATGAAAGAAAAATAGGCAAACAGATACACAGACAGACAGGCAGATGGATAGTAAAATGATAGATAGTAGATAGAAATCTAGATGATGGACAGATGATAGAAAATAGATGGATGATAGATAATAAAGATTGGTGATAGATTGATAGATGATAGAAAAATAGATAGAAACATATAAGGATAAAGAAAATGATTTTAGAGGAAGAGGAAGCAGGGGTATTTTACTTTTGCCTGGAGAGGGGCTATACTATATCAATGCTTGTGGCTGTGGATGACTGTGATTTATCCTGTACTCCTATGAAACCATTAAATGAAAACACTTTTTTGGTGTTTATCTCTGATGCTGAACTAAGGGGGAGATTCCAGTTTAAATAGGCTGTCTGAGCTACATGTCACCCACTCATTCTCCTCTAGGCCTGAGTAGATGATCATAGCAGAATCTAGAGACTTCCTCATCCTGTTTCTCTTGGGAGAATCAACACAACGAGAGCTCCTCAAGCACAGGGACTATTTCCCTTCTTGTATTTGACGCATTAGCAGGCACTCATTAAGTACTTGTTGGTTGATTAACAGATTGAACCAAAGAATTTCAATCTAATATCTAAGAAAGAATTGGGGACCTGAGGTTTCTCAAGGTAAAGGGCCATTTACAAATTCAGAATACTCATTTTAAGTGTTCTTTTATTTTCTTGTGAATTTGAAATGCTCTTTAGACCACAATGATGGGAAGCTGATGACAATGCATTTCCCTCTTCAGACTGGAAGATATCTATGGGTGCCCTTATGACTTTCTGGAAGTCTTTGATGGATGGCAAGCTGCCTACCTGTCCATGGGGAGATTCTGTGCTGGGGCAGAGCTCACATTTTTCTCTTCTTCAAACAAAGTGACAGTTGTGTTCAGAAGTGACTCTATGATCACCAACACTGGCTTCTATGCAGTGTATAATGCTGTTCAGCAAGGTGAACAGGAAGCCGGTAGGTATCTATGAAGCTGACTCCTTTGTTTTTAAGAAATAATGATACTTGAAATTTAGTCTGAAGCAGCCCTTTGCTGGCACAGCTTGGAATTTGATTTACACAAGGCACATAACTAGAAATTCCTCCATTTAACCAAGAAAAAATTATATAAAATCAACCAATGTTGTTATTATATGTGATGCATATATGCATGCACACAATTCTGTATCTGCTGACCCCTACCTTTCCAGTGAAAAAAGAGAGGTGCATTTCCTCACCTATTATCTAGGGCCAAGATTGCTCATTATAATTATACCACATTTGGTTTTTTTAGTATTCTAAAACATTGGCATCCAGGTGCTGAAAGCAGGCTCCACCCTAAAGTAGGAAATCAGAGAAGCAGAGAATTGTAGTTTTACTGCTGGAAAAAATGAGCCGAAAGCTCATTTATAATCCAACTCCTTCTTTTTAAGAGGAGCAGCTGAGAGCTAGAAATGTGAAGCTCCTTATCCATGGTTCCACAGAGCTGGGATAGGAAATGGAATTTTAGCAAAAGCCCTATCTGTAGCTAGGTCATGAAGTTTGTTTGTTATGTTTCTAAGATATGTCCCTGAGATTGGTGAATGGAAGTCACAGGTGTGAAGGTCGCGTGGAGGTGTATTACAACGGCACCTGGGGAACAGTGTGTGATGACAGCTGGGACCTGACAGATGCTCAGGTTGTATGCCAACAGATGGGCTGTGGACAAGCTCTGTCTGCGCCAGGACATAACCACTTTGCGGGAGGCTCAGGACCCATAATTCTGGATGATGTGCAGTGCATTGGAAATGAAGTCAAAGTGTGGCAATGTATGCACAATGGTTGGTTCTCCCATAACTGTGGGCACCAGGAAGATGCCAGTGTTGTCTGCTCAGGTAGGCTCCAATTGGCACTGTCAATGCCTCTGCTGTCAGGGAATAGTTGACAAGGTAGTATTGGGTGTATCACCATCCTTTGCTTCATTTTTTTATTATGGGCTCTTTTACGTATAATGTATTATGCATTATGTGCCCCTTATGTCTCCTTTAGCAGGTAGAAACTACTGAACTTAGCACCTACCTGGCAAGAATAATTCATTAGAATAGGAAATTACATTTCTCCCCTCTAGCCAAATCAAGCAGACATATCCCATCTATGGATTAGCCCTACACTGCTGTCTTTCCTCTATTCTTATGGGGTCCTTAGGTCTATCCCCTACAGAGTCTGGTGTCCTGAGGTGTAAGCTTCCTGCTTCCACTCCCAACAGCCCCCAACTGAATTTGTCTTCTTGTTTGTTCTGAGTACTAAAACTTAGAGAAGTTACTCACCAAGTCTAGCAATCTAGAGTTGGTTCATATACTTTTGAACTAACTTAGCCATTGACTATTATTACTACTATCAACCCTGGCATTTAATAGACGCCATTTTTATTAGGAAAATTGTGTGACGTTCGTTATTTAACTATTCTTTTATTCATTTTGGCCTTCCCATCTTCTGCATCTGAGCAGCTTCTGACAGCCACACCCAATCAGGACCAACAGGTATCATTTGTCACATCATGTTTCTATCAGGCAGGGATAGAGGGTCTAGTAAGCTGAGAGGTTCTCCAAATACATATAAATGATTTAATCCTGTAGCAACTGATTTTTCTGAGGTTCTTTGCCAAGTGAAATGCAGATTTATACCAATATTGTTAGAGATTAACATAGAGTCATTGGGATTCCCTGAACCAGCTGACTGTCTGCCTACTTAGCACAGAACACCGTACTAGGTGCTTACAGGTATACAAAATGAAGGAAGCAAGAATTTATTAAGTACCTAATGTGTTCCACGCATGAGAACTTTACGAATATTATCTCATCTCATCCTCACAACAATTCTTGGAAGTAGGTGCTATCACTGTATCCATTTTACAGTCAAGGAAACTGAGGTAGACGGAAGTTAAG